TTAGCGATGATGAGGTGGAACAGACATTCAATGAGTCGAGATCAAATTTACTAGCAAAGTATCAACATGGCACGCAACAAGCCTTATTCAATGCCGGATTCATGCGAATGCCGGACCTGACAGTATTGCAGGCATACTTGTTGTATTGTGTAAGAATGCCTCTCCAGTGTTTGGTCTTCTTCTAATCCTAACCAGTATCAGATCGGTGTCAGGCAATATACGGACCCCCGGTCTCTATTCTGTTTAACGGGAATGGGTGTACGTTTAGGCCAACGCCTCGGCCTACAACGAGACGGCGCCGAATTTGGATTCTCCCCATTTGAAATAGAGGAGAGAAGGAGGCTTTGGTGGAACCTTGCGGGCTTCGACAGACGCATAGGTGAGATGTGTGGATCAACTATCACAGCCATCTCAACCGGTGGTAACTGCAAGCTGCCGCTCAACATCAACGACGCCGACCTTAACACACACGCCAAAGACTCACCTCCCCCACTTACTGGTGCTACTGAGATGATATTTGCTCTAACCCGGCTTGAGTTTGCGAAAGCGCCGGGTAACGACAAGATGAAAGCTCAGTTATCTGCTGCCAATCCGCAAGCCGTCACAAATTTGGCCGACCACCGCCTCTCAAGCTACCTCGATCAATTTGCACACTATATGGAAGAAACGTACTTGAAATTCTGTGACCCGAAGATACCTGTTCATTATATGACCCTCCTCATGACGCGAGCCAACCTCTGCAAGCTGAAGGTTCTTTCCGGTTTCTTCCGAGTTGTGATCACGGCCCCTTCTCCCTTGCCCGCCGTTGAGAGCGAAGGTCTCCTGGTCGAGGCCATCCGAATGATCGAGTATGACAGTATGATACAAGCTCATGAAAGACTAAAGGGCTTCCTCTGGTATACCAAGATGTATTTCCCTTTTCCTGCTTACGTCTGTCTTTTGGGTGAGCTCCGCCATCGCACGACAGGTGATCTGTGCGAGCGCGCCTGGGAGACAATATTTGAGCATGCAGAAAGGAGGAAGATGACTACCTCAACACATACCCCATTGCATCTTGCCTTCAGCTCACTCTTCGTGAAAGCCTGGGACGCCAGAGAGGCTGCCGAAGCTGCAAACGGTCGCACTCTGGCCCCGCCAAGACTGATAACGCTTATGAGACAAATCGATGCTCGCATGCCCAAGAAGGCCAAGGACAAAACACCGTTGGCAACGCCGTCACCAAAGGTCCCGGTAGCCAGTGCTGGGTTCGTCTCAGCACCTGCATCATCCTCTTCATCAGCAGCGAATGTCGTGCCCAATGCGGCCATGTTTCATAGTTCCGCCGATATGTTCAACAACATGCAGCCTGCCCACATATCTAGGCAATTTTCTTTGGCGTTCCCCGATGTTAGTTTCGGTGGCGAAATGGATTGGAACTACCTTATGCAAGAGTATGGTGGGTTTATGCCTCATCAGGGAATACACAGCTTTGGACAGGTAATGCAGGATCCTACACAGGCCGGGTCTTGGCAATGAATGTATATATAATGCCAATACGGACTATGATGTATAATGACGAGATGACGAGACAAACTCCGAGCGGGCTCGGGTGTATATATTCCCCGGAAATATCTCATCGGTATATGAATAATTAATACAGATGTTTTTATCAACAATTTGAACACACTTGTATTGATAACGAAGATTGATACAGTTTGTCTTTTATAGCACCTATATAATCACATATCTACACTTGATGAGAATTACATTCTCATTACCGTAATGAGTATGAATGTTCTGGTAATAACATGATATGAGAACACTAGGGTCAGCTCTGGCAATGAAGCCGATGACATGATCGGGTTTCGTGGTGTAGTTGGTTATCACGTCAGTCTAACACACTGAAGGTCTCCGGTTCAAGTCCGGGCGAAATCATTTAATTTTGTGTTTATGCCTGGTTTTTTTAGAGTTTGCGTTTTGCGATTTTATCCAAGTCGAAGTCATGGCTGTTGTTGTGAAGAATCTGGCTGTGATCCTGCGTCCCGGTAAAGTCGAGTGGGAAATGGCGATCATTTTCTTTTTAGGGGTTTCCACTTACTTCGGTAAGTTCATGATAGTGGATGCCATGTAGTTGCGGAGATCGCCGACTTGCTTCAAGGATAGAGATAGGATTGTCAATTGTCATGTACTTAGTATGTAGCTGGCCCTTGTCATTTTCATTGGTTTTACTTTTTGCTTTTTTGCTTTTTTGCTTTTTGTGTTTCTGTTTTCTGTTTTGTCTTTTTCTAACAACCAGCAGCTGGTTTTGACAGCATTCAGATGCTATATTCCTTACAAATAATCATCGCATCGCATACTATACAAGCTACAGGTCAATCGATAAATCAGATCAATGGCTGCCGTCAGCGTCGATACAACACAAAATACAACCTTGTTACGGTTCTCCTCCGGTAACGGCCCCGTGTCCCGGACCATCTTGAAGACGCCTCTACGCGATGCTCTCCCATCCGAGATCCCCGTCATCGACGTGTCGGGGGTTTTCAGCGACTCCAAAGATGCGCGCGTAAACGTGGCTCGCCAGATCCGAGACGCCGCCACCAACAGCGGCTTCTTCTACATCGAAAACCACGGCATCCCCACCGACGTCCCGGAGACGGCCTGCGAGGAGCTTCGCCGCTTCTTCCGGCAGCCGCGGGAGGTCAAAGACCGCGCCCACGTCAGCCAATCCCAGTACTTCAACGGCTACAAGCCGGCCAGGTTGCAGCGCGTCAATCCGTTCGAGTCGGTCGACGTGCGCGAGACCTTCTCGTGGACCTACGATCCGCGCTATGATCCCTCGGTTCCCGACCCGGCCGCCATCCCGCCTCACATCGCGCGGCTCCTGAGATGTGAGGACTTCCACTGGGAGGCCACCGCCAACCTGCCTCATTTCAAGGATGCCATCGTGAATTATTGGCGCTCTTGTCTGGCCGTGGCCCGGGCCCTCGTGCGCTGCTTCGCCTTGTCGCTCGATCTACCCGAAGACTTCTTCGCGGATAAATTCTCACATCCGGATGCCGCCCTGGCCCTGAACTACTATCCGCCGTTGCAGAAGAAGAAGAAGGCGCCGGCGGCGGAACAAGACGAGACGGAGGTCTCCATTGGCTCGCATACGGACTTCCAGCTCTTCACGATGCTGTGGCAGGACAATAACGGGGGGCTGCAAGTGTTGAACCGCCAGGGCCAGTGGATCAACGCGAAGCCCATCCCGGGAACCTTCGTTGTCAACATAGCGGACTACATGCAGCGCATCACGAATGACCGCTACGTGAGCACCGTGCACCGCGTCCAGAACTACAGCGGCAACGAGAGGATCAGCATGGCGTTTTTCTTCGGCTTTAATCGGAATGAGAGCTGCGGTGTGCTTGACAATTGCGTTGCCGAGGGCGAGGTGAAGAAATATGATGAAATTAGCTGCGAGGAGTGGGTTCAGAGGCGTGTAAGGGCGATGCATCAGCAAGGCGAACCATCAACAGGCAAATGAATACTGCTCTTGTTGAGCGGATTTCTAAAGTCTGCCATGTTTGATTTCGGATCATTGTAGGATGACTCAGAACAAATCATTCAGACCGATTGGCTCTATGACTGAAGTCAGGTCTACTACTTATATGAAAGATGGCCCATGCTGTCAGGTTACGAACAATTGAGGACCAGTTTCTATCTGCTGTCTCAAAGGACAATGCCTATTGCGTTAGGCTTTCTGAGAATGATGTAGACTACATATAGAATAAAAGGTACCCCGATCTAATGTGTGGCTTTGTGCGCTCCATACACACTAAATGGTCACGCTATCCATATCTCTCGGCACACCTCTAAATCCCTCCAGACCATAAGCATTGTTTAATTATATAGGAGGATCAAGACGTAATTAAAAATAGTTATAGTCGAAGTAAAATCTGAGAAATACTACACGTATAAAGTATCCTACATGTGACGGCTGAACAGCTTCACTTAAGACACACATTCAATACCCTAATGCCGAAGGCCGAGACTCAATGCTACAGTGTCTGAATTGCCTGGATTCATGTTATGTAGGCTAACAAAAATAGTTACAAGGAGCTTGCATCTTCTATCTCGTTAGATATCAATTACAGATGGTAAACGACACGAATATCAAAAGCGTCTAGCAATTTGGCATCTCACAGTCCACCAATTCCTCGTAGAGCGCGAGCTGGCGAAATCGCTATTCCCACAACTTCAATCCTATATCCGGTACAGAAACAGTTTGCTTGATTTTAGATCGGTGTTAGTACGCTAAGTAGTAATTATAGTCCGTTAGATATATGGCTACTATCTACATCCAGAGGAGTTATGGGAACCCGGGCTCTTTGTGATGGGTTATCGTTTATCACAGTTGAAGAAGAAAGGGAAATGTCAACAACCATAATACATATTCACATAAGATGACAAGGATGATTAAATAATTACTTAAACCCGCGAAAAGAATAAATGTATTAGGAGCTTGGGAGCAAAAATGGAAACATTACCGTCTTTGCGGATTCGCATTCTACTGCGAACCGGTGGACGGTAAAATGTGACCTTGTCGGAGGCCAGGCGCTTCGACATTTGTGCCGCGCGAGGGTCGTCGAATTCATTGCTGATATAGGTACCGTTGCTTTTTTTTAATAATACATACCTACCTGTAGATAGTAGCAATTGGTATAGGTAAGTAAGTAAGTACTTAGGCACCTCCCTACAGTATCTCTCTATAAATACTGCACCTAACACCTAGGGTAGTTTTGGCTGAATCTCCTTAACCTCATATAAGCCAGCCATACAAGGAAGTTAATACTAGGTAGCTCATCAATTTTCACCACTGGTAAAGTAATGATATAAACACGTAGTTGAAGGTAATTTTCTGAACCACATTATGCACAGTACATGGGCCCTGTAAACATCCCCACTCCATGGTTTTGTTTTATGAATATAGCACTACCTAGGCCTTGAACGAACCAATCAAGTGCTTACATTCACTGGATAATGGCCAGGTGGCAGAGTGGTTAATGCGGTAGACTCGAATGAAAATGAGATTATCTACTTCCTTCGGGAGCGTCTGTTCGAATCAGGCCCTGGTCGAATTTTGATTTTGTCCGCAACGCCATTTATGTCTGCTACTAATTGGTAATAACTTTGCTAAAGCGGTCGGAATACTTTTCTTTTTCTCCTTACTTTTATCTTATATAGACATTGCCCGATAACTCCCAATTTGCTGCATTTAATCTTCCATAACGCTAACAGAATGAAAATTACCTCCGGTTCACCGAAACCAATTCCGTGTCAAACCTCCAAGCAAGCTCGATTCTATAGTGTACAAGTGTCCCCATCCCCGTTGCTGCAAGCTGGGCACAGTTACCCAGGAAACCTCGGCAATATATTTCTTGACAGTTGTCCCACGATGCATTAATCAATCAAGTAAATTCAGCAAGCTGCAGTCTGTGAACACCGGCTCTTGCGGCTGCTCTGGATTCCAAAGCTTATCGATATCGGCCATAGCAGGAGCAAGGTCGCGCACCAGCATGGAGAGATATGGCGGTAGGGGCAGGTGTCCTTCACGGTTTCTGGCGAGTCGCATAAGGCGGACCCGGGGAATACACGGCGGATGGACTCTTATATGGGGTGGGGGTCTTCTGCGCAAGCTGGTACTAGTGGTTGCGTTCTCTCCAGATCTTATTGCAAATCATTTGTTGAAGCATTTGGCCAGTTGTGCACCAATTGACGATTTCATCCTCAGATTTAAGTAGGGTGTCATAAGACATGTCGTAGAGATTGAGTGGTAACGTGATGTAGCTATTTGACAAGCTGAAGTCAGTAATCACCAAGAGGAATAGTGATTCATCTCATGTCTCATGATTATTATTAAGGAGTAACAAGGCCTAACGACTGCTGAGAGAGGAAAATAATGAGTCTGGGACTAACCTGGAGCTGTCTGTTAGTGCACCACCACGATGTTCATGGTACACGACTATCATGATCGTTTCAATGTTGCGGAGCCAGCTATAGATAGACATGAGACTCTCCTGCATCTTCTCCCGCATGCAAAAAGATTGCCAGTTGATAGCGGCTATAGTTGTGTGTCTCGCCCGTTAGAGCGGACAAGTCTAGTGGAGCTCGAGCTCTTTTATTGTGTCAAAAACCGAAGTAAACAATACTCTTTAGCTCGCTCTGTGTTCTTTTATTGAGATCGTTACCACGTGAGATATATTCTAGAGTATAGGAGCTACTTCCTCGAGAGCTACCTGAAGCTATAGTAAGAGGGGTCCGCTCATAGACTTGTAGTTCTTTACAACCGTACTTGTTCTCGGCAGCGAAGCAGAGTTGTTGATTGGAAAAACTATATCGTCTATTTTGTCACTGATATCAGCGCTCAGGGATTCCATGCCAATACAAGCAATCGGGGTTTCTTAGAAACGTGTTAGCTTATAGTAATTTCGGCAGCAAAACTTGTTTTACTCATAGTCAGTTTAAGGGAATGCTTACAAGGACCAAGAAGCAGGATCGTTTGCATAGAAGTTCCCCAAGCAGAGAATAAGGCTAAGGTGTAAACGTGGCAACACAGAGCAAACGAAAAGGGCTGAACAAGCTTCGTAGCATTAGGCGAGCTATTTATGGTGTTGTTTGCAATCTTCTGCGGCATGGATTGACGATCCTGCTGCTCTTGCTGTCGCAGTAACTGGGCATCCAGCGGCAAAACGACTCCTGGTTCCGTAAGGGTCGCTGTGATATAGTGGGTTACCCACTACACCCCACTGTAACCTAGCTATAGGTAGATATCTGTACACAGTAGTCACAGTATGGATTTTCTATTTATTTTACAACCTAATATATGACTGTTTATTTGGCATTACTACAAACTGGTAGCTAGCGATTGTTGCGTTTTTTTCGGCGGCTTTTTTGCTTTCAACCAAGTTTAAACTATATTTTTAGCTTTGCAGCTAAAACGGAAAACTTTTTAATAAGTAAAAATTGGTCGTATAAACGTTGCTGCAACGTTTACAAAGCATTAATTTTTTTATTTTTTTCGCTTTGTTAACTTATTTTTACTTTATTTAAAAAAAATTTTTATGCTTTAAATTAAAAAATATTTATGTTAAAAAATATATTAGCTTGTTAATTGCTACGTTTTTAGCTAATTAAGTATATTTATATGCAATTAATTACGTTAAATAACATTTAATTTGCAAAAAATTTTATTTAAAATTTTATATATAAAGCTAATTTTTTTGAAAAAAATTATTTATTAGCTTAAATTAAATTAAAACGTTAATTTAAAGCTTTTTTTTACCGCTAGCAATAATTATATATTTTATTTAATTTTTAAAATATTTTATTATTAAATAGCAACTATAAAAATTATTTAAATTTTTTTTATTATATTAATTTTTTTGGTTTTTTTATATTTGTTTTTTATTTAAATATAGCAAAAATAGCAATTTTGCGCAAATTTACAAAATTTAAAAAAAAAACTTAAGTTATAAAACATTTTTAACTTTATACTTATTTAACTAAAGCAGCAAATTATATTAAATTTATTTTTTGCTAAAATAAATATTTTATTTTTATTATAAATTTAAAAAGCATAAATAATGCATACATTAATTATTTTAGCATATTTTTTCGATTTTTTACTATTTAAAGAAATTTTTTTTTAATTTAATTAGCTATATATTTTTGTTTAATATTTTTAAAAATATTAAGTAATTTGTAACGGATTTATTATATAATAATATAATAAACTTATCAGGGGTTTTTAATTTGCAAGTAACAGTATGGAAATTAGCGGGTGTTCGTTAAAAAAGTTTATTATATTTTTATTACTATGCAACAAAAAATATTACTAAATATTAAAGTAATAAATATATTAATGCTTAGCGATTTTAAGTTAATAGCTAAAAAGCAAAAATTAACGAGTAACTAAATATAAAAAAATATATAATTATATAAATATAATAAATATAGTAATCGCTTGGATTATTTTGAGTTGGTAAGTTTGGCTTACTGTTAGTTGGTAAGTTTAAATTACTGTAAGCTGGTAAACTTGGATTACCGTAAGCTGGTAAGCTTAGATTACCGTAAATTAATAAGTTTAAATTACCGTAAGCTAATAAATTTAAATTATTATAAACTAGTAAGCTTAAATTATTGTAAGCTGATAAACTTAAATTATATAATAAAAAAAATTAAATAAAAAAAATAAATCAAAAAAAAAAATTAAGCCGCTATTTTTTTAAGTTATTACTTTTTTAAGCTATTTTTATATTAACACGTATTTTTATAATATTATTTTTTTTTAAATTATTGTTTTAACAATTTTTTTTTGTAAGTTTTTTTTTATTAATTTTTAAAATGTTTAATTGTATTAAAAAAGTTAACTGCTCGCTTAAAATAAAGCAACAATTAATTTTTGCTTTTTTAATAAATAAAATTAATTATAAAGTTATGCTTTATTTTTGCTGCTTTAACCGGTTGCTAAAATGCAAAATAATAAATGGGGTTATATATTGCAAAAAATGCGTTTGAGCAAATCGCACCTGTAATAATTCCGGTATTTTTTTTGTTTTTGCTAAAAATGTTGTTTCTAAACATTATTGCTTTAAGCGGAAAAAAAAAAAGCAAAAAAAAAGTTAGCGCGAGCAAAAAAAAATTTAAATATTGTTTTAGGTCGCTTAAGTTATTTTTGCCGGCAAAAATAGTTTTTTAAAAAAAAAGCTACAAAAATAGTTTAGCGTGGTTTAGCATTTTTAAATAAATTGGACGAAATTAAGCGTATCAAAAAAAAATAAAAATTTTTAAGTAAAAAAAAAAAAAAAAAAGCAAAAAAAACGCAAATAGCATAAGCTGCTTTAGTAAATTTTAACTGAGATTTTTTTAATATTTTTTTTAAGATCGATTTTTTTTTTTAGGCTTTAGTCGATTAAAATGTTGTCGATAAAACTAATTTACAACTATTGCGGCATTTTTTAAATATTTTATAAATTTTTATATATTATTTAAATATAGGTACTTTTTTTATTTTACTAAGTATTTAATTTTTTTGCCGTTTTAACAAAAATTTAATATTTTTTCGATTTTATAAATATTTTAATTTGTTTTAACTTTAATCCGTGTTTTAAAAGGTATATTGTTTAGCGTTAGTTTAAGTAAAAAAATATAAAAAACCGGGTAAATTTGCATTGTTTTTAGTAATAATAGTTAATAATTAATTAGTAAAATAACTTTTTTAATTTTAAAAAAACTAAGTTTTTTAAAATTTAATTTATTGTTTGGTCGCTTTGTTTTAATTTATAATATTTTTAATATAGTATTTTATTTTTGTTATAATAAATAAATTTTGTTTTTTTTTTTGCTAAAATTAGTTTTTTAGTTTTTTTTTGTTGTAATATTTTGCGATTTGTTATTGCAAAAATTAAAGTTAAACTTACAATTTAATTTAAATTGTTTTAATTTTAGTTGCAATTATTTTAGCTTTAAAAGTTATAGCTAAAATAATTGGTACTTTTGTAAATAATTTTTTTAGTTTTTTAATTTTTGCTTGTTTACCGTATATTACTTTATGCGAAAATATATTTATTTTTTTATTAATAAATATATTATATGTAATTTATGCTGTAAGCAAAAGTTTTACTTAATTGTTTTGTTAATAATTAATATAGCTTTAAAAATATTGTTTAAATGTTTAATTTAGTTTTTTTGTTTGTTTATTTATTTAAAGGTGATATGCAATTAAAAATTTAAGTTTTATTTTTATTTGTTTAAAAAAATTATTTTTAAATTTTAATATAAATAGTTTGTTTTGGTTAAAAATAACTTTGTTTGGTATTTTATATTTATTAAAATATTATCGAACAAAAATATACGCAAGTTGTTTTGCAGTTGCGTTTGTTTTAAAAGGTAAAAAATACGCATATTTTATAAATCGGTTTATAATAATTTATATTATATCGTACTATATTTTTGTTATTAAGTTAGTTAATAAAAGTAATTTGGTAATAAAATTTTAAGCAATAGTATGTTATGCTTAATTAAATATTTATATTAATTAAAGTAGTTTATATAGTTTATATTGTGCGGATTTAGCT